CAACCCAAGCATCGTCTGGCAACAGGGAGCTTGGGAGCAATTGGATTTTCTAACAACTTAAGCAGCATTGTTTGTTTGGGTAGTTAGAGGCAGCCTTTGAGGATATAGTCCTTTGAGGATATAGACAGCTGACAAAGAAGTAAAATATCAACTACAATAAAATAAAATAAAATCATTATAAAGCCAGGCAACTGCACAAACATGATTTTAAACACAGATGAATCAAAATGTAAGAAACAATACACCCAACAGATGAAAATGCCAACCTTGGAGCAGTTCATTATTTCTAGAATTGCAAAGACTTTTGCTTTATGGCCAGCTGCTGTGCTTTACTGTCTGACTTTTCATTACTCCCCCCCCCCCCCCCCCCCCCCCCGGAAGACATGCAGTGGGAGGGTATCCTATTACTGTGCCATGGACAAACTTTTCCTTTTCCTTCCTTCAAGTGCTGGGATTCATTTCCTGAGCCCCTGCCACACTTTTATCACTTGGCCAAAGGAGCTATTGGTCTACCTACCAAAGCTGGTAATAGGTGTTCCTCATTAGCAACATTATGTGGGTTTCTAATAGCAATTATAAGTCCAGGAATTCCTTGCAAAGTATGTATCTAGACGGGGCTCTGCTCCTACCTTGTGAAGGAAGCCAGCTCCATTAAGAACAGGTACATGTCCCAGTTCACAATCTCCCACCCATAGTAGCTCCATCTCTCTGAGAAATGCCCCCTAAATACAATCTCCAGTATCAGGATTCATACTCAGTGTGTTGAGCAACATCTGACCAATACTACCGTTTGTCACCAGCCTACAAATGACACCTCACTTCAAATCTAATTGCACCCAGTGTCCTCATATTGATTATAAATACCACTGGAGGCAGGGTGCTACCTGTTAGCACCTCATATTACAGAAATCTCATTCACTTTCATGTAGTATTATTCTGTGGAACAGTTCCTGCAAGTAGGAGCAGAACCACTATAAAATAGGGCCCACTCTCTCAGTTCATAGAAATCCAAAAGATTACCACCATCAAAGTTTAGTGAGAGACCAAGGAAGATCAGCAGCCAGGCTGTCCTTGTCTCTCCTGTAGGAGGACATCAATTAGGGTGTTGTCTTAAAACCAAATTTGAAATTGGACAAGGCAAACAACTCCTCCAAGAACTTATGAAACTGCACAACTTCTTGCTTCTCAAGAGCCTTGCTTCCTCATACACAACGTGGTAACCTGGCATTAGCAAAAGTAGCACTCTATGTGTACATCACATGTATCTTGCTTTCTCTATGCCAAATGCAAGACCCCCATACCTCCATAGGTTGAATCCATAACTGTCTGGCAATTATCCTGCCTTTTTTAATGCTTAGTACTTTCCTGCCCCTCCTGACCATTTCTTAATGCAGAGATCCAATTCCCACCACTGTTTTTGTCTTATACAGAAGACTAGCTCATCCCAAATCAGACTATTATTCCATCTAGTCCAGTGTCACCCAACTGGTTGGCATCAGCATTTCATGGCTTCAGACAGGAATCTTTTCCCTACGGATGTCAGGGACTTAACCTGCGACCTTCTTCATGTAAAATGGATGCTCTGCTACTCAACTATTAGTCTTGCCTCTTTTTTTCTACCATGTGTTCCATTCTGAATGTAACCGTCTCACTCGAGCTGAGAGAAGCTATTTTAGCTTAAGAATACATCTGGCTAATTTGGATTATTCCCTTCCTCACTGTATCCCCCACTTCCCATCCTAATCATTCTCATCTGCTCTTTTTGAAGATGCAGAATTTTCATTATGTAGATATGAAAAAAAAGCAACTGAAAAGGCATTGTTTAATAAATGTGTTGAATAATGAGCTCTAAGTAGTGGATTCAGCTTTCAAGAGGGAGAAATGGTTACAGAGACAAAGCTGCATATTAATGCTATATTTATAATTTTGCAGAATACAGATGATAAGATTGTATGTGTAGCTAAGAGATAAAGAAGCAAGACATGTATTTCATATTGAAAACACTAGTGTTTCTTTGACAAAGGAACAGACGATTCTTCTCTCTCTCTTTCTTCTTGTGTACTTCAGAGTCCTGTAAAGTTTTACTTCTTGTTGAAGACTGATTTTGACACAATCCGCAGCTTATATGCAATGCATTGAGTTTTGCTAATGCTGTCACAATCTTTTGATCAAGATAGTCTGATAAGACACGCCTTCAGCTTCCATGAAAATACATATTTAAAATATTAATGTGATAGGATATCAGAAACATAATAGAATCCCTCCCCTTCTAGAGATCTAGATTCATTTTTAGAACATCTTTGATATAGTACATTGATTACTGCTCCCCTGAACATTTTTTTATCTATTCCCTTCTGCTTCATTCTTGGAACATTTATTATGTCCCTGGTTATAGGGATTCTTTTTTAAGGGTGCCCACACACGCGTGAGGTAACTTAGCAACACAGTACTCGAAATAATCATTAAAAAATCTCATTGGAAGGGGACATTAGGGTTAATGATTGGTGGACTAGTGAAGCTTCCAGGCATTTCAAAATCTCATGTGAGATTGCCTGCAGCTTGTTTACTTCCACACAAGGACCGAAATGTTATGGTACAGGTCAATCTGTATTACTTATGTCATTCAACACCCGACAGTTTATATTCTTTAAAAACTTGGCCTCTAGCTTGTAAAGGGAATTACCTTTTGGCAAGGATACCAACACACTTGGAGAAACTCTGGCCCAAATGTGTGTTGCAGCCCACTGTTAAAGATCTTTCCTAGGTCATCGTGATAGAAAACCCACTCTCTAGTAGAAAAGCAAGGAAGAATAATAGAATCATTGAATTGGAAGAGATCTCAGGAGCCATCCAGTCTATCCCCGTTTTGTCATGCAGGAAAACACAACCAAAGCACTCTTGACAGATGGCCACCCAGCCTCTGCTTCAAAACCTCCAAATTGAGACTTCACCATGCTCTGAGGCAGCAACATATTACACTGCCAAACAGCTCTTACCATCAGGAAGTTCTTCCTAATATTTAGGTGGAATCTCTTTTCTTGCTATTTGAATCCATTGTTCCATGGTGTCCTAGTCTCCAGAGCATCAGAAAACAAGCCTGCCTCCTCCTCAATGTGATTATAACTTCCCGTGTCATAGGAGCAGTGGTAAGTAGTTAATCCATGCCCAGCATGGATTGTTCTTTGCCATTTAAGCAATTTCCATTCTATGACAACTTGAAAGTAAACTTGTTACTTGTCTTTTTTGGCAATATTTGTTCAGAAGAGGTTTGCTGTTGCCTTCCTCTGAAGCCAAGAGAGTGTGACTTGCTCAAGGTCACCCAGCGTGTTTCTTGGTCAAATAGGAATTTAAACTCTGGCCTCCAGAGTCATAGTATGATACCCAAATCATTACATCATGTTGACTACATTGCCATTGAGACTATATTACGGCAAATATATCTGTAGTAATCCTTATTTTCATTTATAGATAAATTGGGCTAACAAAGTAGTAAAACGTGTGGTCTAGAGAAATTGGCTTCCAAGACAGACTTTTATGGTGCTTTGAGCCAGTGTTTCTAGAAAGTTTTCCCCCCCTGAAAACCGCTTTATTTACATTTTTTGTATGTTCTTGTAAGTGCTGCATAAATTTACCAGAAAAGAAATTATAAGAAAAAAGCTTGGTGTTATGACTGCAGCTCATTTTATGCATTTTATCCTTGTAGCAGGTTGATATTCACATTTTGGCTGCAATCAGCTTTTGGCTTTCCTGGCAGTTGAGTCAGTAATTCAGCTTAGTATCACTATATTTATGTATAGACCAAAATCAGGACTCAAAAATAGATTACAAATTGAAACAAGTTCGACATTAGTATAGAATTAAATTATTGAAGAGACCAAAAAGAGTTTGAAACTTGTGCATGTTACAAAGCAACTACAAACCGAAACAATTAAAACAATATATTACATTCTTAAAATCCTTTCTTTGAAGACCTGGAGGCTGCTTTTCTTTTGTCCCTTTCCTCATGATCAATCATGACTCTTAAACCCTTAAGTTAGCAGCCTTTTAGGTAGCTCTCTTGAATTTACTTAAAGCTTTCTCGAGTTTGCAGAGTTGGACTCATTCCTTCTGAGATTTGCCAACTGCTGTCTGACAGTGCTGAGAGTCTAGAATGGAGGTGTAGACATGCCTTCAAAGTATTTTATGAATTAATAATGTTCAGACAGCCAAGTATGAAAGTACAAAAGAAATAGCACTGTTGGAAGATAAACAGGGCAATGATTGGCAGGGCAGATTTAGTGAGCTTGTCAAATGCTACATTAGTAATATGGGTATTTAAAACGTAGATATTGCATGACATGTAGATTAAAATTTTACATACCCATCATACCTTTGTCCTCGTGAACTGAACCATTCAGTTAATATGGCTAAACAAAATACCACATCCAGAATGTGAAACAAAAAGATAATATAGATGAAAACAGCAAATAATGAATTGTACTAAATGACCATCCATTATGCCAACCTGTTAAAATTGTCTTGTTGGAGTGTGATGATAGTTTGATACTTCTTTTCCCTAATACTGAAGATAGAATTGTATTACTGTAACTTAGCCATTGGTAAATCCACCACTTTTCAGTGCAACTCTCAATTTTCTAGTTAGTAATTAGTTTTTCCAGTTATGTGTGTATTTGAATTTTATTAATAGGGAAGGAGGAATATCAGCTCTTGAAGATGTTGCAGAGAGGCGGTGGGGGGATAGAACTGCATTTCCACTGTGTTGGATCTACTCTGTTCTGCGCTCCATCTCTCCTTGATCCATATATAAATCTGGCTTCTTCAACTTGAAGGATGAGAAGTTTGATTATGTAGAGTAGGGTTAGGCAACAGTGGCATGTCTGAGACTAATTTTCTGTCCCTGGGGCTCTGCAGGTGCTGCTTAGACTCCTAAAATGCCCCAAACTAACCAATATGTTTGGGGCTACTAATAATAAATAGAGTTTGCTTGTCTTTTTTTCCAGGCACTTTCCTCCATGGAACAATTTCACAACTTGGATCGGGACATTGAGGGTTCTGCTAAGCGCTGGAAAAAGTTTGTAGAGTCTGAATGCCCTGAAAAGGAGAAGTTTCCTCAAGAATGGAAGAATACATCTGCTTTGCAGCAACTATGTATGATGAGAGCCTTACGACCTGACCGCATGACATATGCTGTCAGGTGAGTCACGTTTACAAGCAAGGTGGCTGAGCCATGTCCAGCAGTGTAAAAAAACAAAGCTTTTGAACAGCGCGTCCATGAAGGGCTGTGACTCATACAGCAACCACTTAAATGTCTGGTTCTTATATATCTGTCTTCCTGGCTTAGAATGAATGTCTTTTAATTCCATAATGCAATTTTCCTCCCACTGTCCCATTTAATCAGAACTGACTCAATCACTGATGTACGTTTAACCTCAGCCACATCCAGGATGGATTATTATCTAAAGGATGCTGATCATATAAAATCTTTTATGGTATCCTATCCTTTCTACTCTGATCCACAACACACACATTAATTGTCTCTATTTTAGGCATTACTTCAATTTTCATCAAAATATTAATTGTAAGTATGCATGTCCAAGGTAGTTTGGAAACAACTAGCTAACTTTAATATCCTTAGTATTAATATTAAACATAAGTTAATGAGTTACTTCCTCCCCCAGGGAAGTTTGGAGAATTAATGTGATGGTTAATACCACTCACGGTGATGCAATAATTGAGATATCTTGCCTTTGAGAGGCTGAATGGGATCCCAAAAGGAGAAGAGTCATTGATAGCACTGGAATTGTAATAAACTGCAGGGTAGCAGGAAATGAATTTGAGAATCTTGACCCTTGTATATGAAACGTGTACACCAGCCACGCTCTCGTCTGTTTCAGTGGAGTGGCAGGAAGTGATTCTATTCATCAGTGCAAAATTTAAAAAATTGCATGTGGTCAGAGCTATTAAAAGTATTTCTGCCATGCAAAATTGCATTGAATCAGGGAATCATCTCTAGAAAGGATAAATACAGGCAGTCCCCAGGTTATGAACATGGTAGGTTCTGTAGGTTTGTTCTTAAGTTGAATTTCTTTGTAAGTCAGAACAGGTACATTTTTAAGTGTGACTCCAGCCATAGGGAAGCATAGGGAAGGATTAACACTCCCGTGGTGTTTGTTTTACGGTCTGTGCCTCTGTTCAGAAGATTTCACCTCACTTTCTGTCCATGTGATTACTGGATTTTGATAAATTTGGCCTGTTGTAGAAACAAGGATTGGCAATAAAGCTTCATTTTCCTCATGATAATTCTTTCAGGAGTGAATTTCCCTTCCAAGGGATGATTTATCTCATTTCCTGTTCTCTTACTATGAGTTGTTTGTAAGTCCGATGTTTGTAATGCGGGGACCGCCAGTACATCATCCCTTCTTCACCTTTTCCAATCCAGATAAACAATCTGTGGGGTTTTGTTTGGGGGGGGGGGTAGAAAGAAGAGAGAGGCAAATCAGGAGGATATTAGCTCCCATGCTTTAGAACAGCATACTTCGAGCATGCTTATAGATGTAATGCACTATGAATTCCATCACCTTCAACCATCAGATACTAGGGTTTGTAGTTCAATTCAACTGCAGGCTGAAAGTGTCTGTAACAAAAATGTACTATTGTAGGAAACAATGACAATAACATATGCTATTTTCAGAAAATCGTAGGTTTTTGTGCATGTAAACAATTCAGTTTGCAAAATTTTATGATTAGTTCAAGGTCAGTAGGCTGTCATTTCGCAGGTAATGGAGGGGAAATTTAAAACACACATAAAACTTAACGTTTTAGGAACTTTAATCAACCGTTTAATCATACTAGAAATGCAATTACTTTGATTCTATAAGTTATTATTTAAATGTTTGTTGTTGTCTTTTATAACTTTCTACAATTGTGTTTGTGATAATTGATAGGAACACCTTCCAGGAAAAGAACGTGGGATGCCAAGTTTTTAGTGTTCATAATAAACTCTGTTTTGTCATTATCTTTTATTTTATTCACCTTGCCTGTTAAAAACAAAACCACTTTCATTTTCCAGACATTCTCTCAGGGGACTTCTTTTATGTCTTTGTATTATAAAATATTGCTTCTCCACAAACCACTTAAAAATAAAATAAAATAAGTATCATCTACCCAGAATGAAAAATGGCAGTGCTTGTTGAACCCCCAATCAGCAACCTCATATATTCTAGCACATCCTAGTGAAAGACACCTGGTCCCTGTCCTCCAAGTTTTGAGAATATACAATTTGAGCAAAAACAAACTCTATAATTTATGTCCATTTCAATTATAATGTCAACTGTGCATGTTGTTCCTCTGGGTGTATACTAAAAATAATGGCTTGTAGCATCAGTTCTTACAAGTCATAATATAGTTTGGCTGATGCTGGTCATTGATGTTGTCATCAGTTATTTAGTGAAGTAGATGAAGCAAAAGGTAAACTCCACATAGGCATGTAACTGTAGTACATGTAGTTCAAGAAAGCAAAAGGTCTTATGCTCCATCAGGACTTGTCTGTTGTTTAGTTTCTTAACTTTCTATTGGATGACATTTGATTCTCTCTCTGGGCCTGCCAGACTACATAGTCTATGCAGAAAAAACCCTTCTGGGTTCATTTGCTTTAAAGTAAATCACACTTTTTGAAAGCTGAATAGTCTCATCCAAGGGTAAGCAGCCTGGTGTCCTCCAGGTGTTTTGGACTACAAACCCCATAATCCCTGATTGGAAGACATCTGGTTCCTTACCCCCTATTATTGCTAACCTTTTCCACTGTGAAATAGTATGTGCTATTTAAAGATCTAAAATAGCCTGACCTGTTTTTTTCCCCTTGAAACCCTCCAATGAATCAGATTAGACAATAACTTTCCAATCATGGCTTGCAAAAAAATAAATAAATGCTTACTGTGTTGGTTTCCATCATGTTGGAAATGAATACAATAAGACCAATATAACCATGCAACCCTTATCTGCAATTTCAGTCACCTTTGCCTAGGGGAAAATGGTGTCTCTAGGAATTTGCTAGGTCCCCTAAGTGATTCTGTAGTATACTTTGTAGGCTTGGTTGATTAAAAAATGGTTCAAAACTCGTTTCAGATGTAGGGGGCGCTGGTGGTTCGATTCGGAATTGAATTCCAAATCCCCCCCCCCAAATTCGGAACTTTCTGAACTTTCCGAATTGCTTCGTTAATGGCGAATGTGATTGCACAATACGCAACTCTTAGGCCACTCACAGCAAACAACCAAAGGAAAAAAAAAAGAAACAGCCCTAAGAGTTTATGGGACTTTTGAGCAGATTTCACCAGCTAGGGGAATATAGGCAGAAAAGAAACTGGAATTTCTAGTGTCTTCTTAGGCAACTCACAGCAAACAAACAAAGAAAAAAAGAAACAGGCAGGCAGCCAATCACGGCTGGCAACAGCTCTTCTCGCAGCCTTTCTTCCTTTCTGCTTGCTTACCTGCTTGCCCGCTGTGCTCTTCTTCCAACCTCCCTTCCCTTAGTCTCAGTCTTAGTCTTTGTCTTTTCCCTTCTCCCTTTCCTTCCCGGCTCCAAATGAGCCCCTGGGCCATGTGCTCCCCATTATATACTGCAATGGCGGCCAGTGCCAGAACCCCTCCCCTCCCCAAAACTTCTGCCCTGATCAGCTGGAAGGGGAGGCAAGGGGCCTCCCAGCCTCCCAGCAGGCTAGAGGGCTGAAAATACACTGAATCCTTTCCGACTCACTTCCTGAGTCGTAACAAAAATGGCGGAGAAAGCTTGGGAAGGAAAAGGGACCTCCGGGTTTTAAAATGCATCAAAATCGCTTCAAAAAGGTAACTTTAACGCAATTATTATAAGTAGCGAGTAATCCAACGTGGCTCCATCCTTGCCTAATACTTTCTCCAAATGTTACCATTGAGTTGCAATTGAGAATCTAGCAGTTTTTTTTTTATAGAGAGGATACATTTCTAGGAATCTCTAGGTCCTTCAATGCAATTTTATGATGGGCTGGGATCAGAAGTGAGGTAATTTAATGATAGCTGGAGAATTATTAGACCTCCCCAAAGGCTTCCAAGCCTTAATGTGTATTGATAACATACCTTGCACAGGTCAGCAACACTTGGATGCATCCTAGCAGGTTATGGGTACACGCTTCATATTTATTGTCTTTGCTGTCTCCCCAAATCACTCATGAGTTCAATGAGAGTGTCCAGAGATGCTTTATTCTGCTATCGAACTTGAAAGTACTGTGTATGTTTATGAAATGTATTATGTATCCACCTGTAATGAGAGTTGCATTGCAACTTGGGAATAATAGTCCAGTTTTTTAAAGTTAGCTAATTGGAACAGGAATATTTATAAGGTAAATTAGGAGAAAATATCGAAAATGTATGAATAATATTTGTCTTTCAATGTGCACTTGGCCTGGGTGCGTTGGTGAGGGGTTTTTAGTTTATTCAGGAGGAGGTATGGTAACTTCTGGAAAAAAAACCCAGGGATTTTTTTTTCTGTAGTGTATTGGTTTTGCTCCTTTTCTTCCTCTAAGTAACCTTTGTAAGTGCATCTCTCCCACCAAGAGAAGAATGGTACATGAGATGCCATATGGTTTATTGTGGCATACATTGTCTGTCCAATTCTGTATCTTGTGCTGAATATATCTGAAGGTTTAATGGCTATAATGATTAGAGTAGCTTGTAGGAATAAGCAGCAGCAATTTTGGTGCTATTGATATTGGTAATATTCTGGTCTCTTATTAAAACCATCAATATTTTTAGTCCAAAACCAGAATTTTTACTCTTTTTCTGTAGATCAAATCTTTTTGACATTTGGGACTCTCTGAGAATACAATTTCCATTAAGGACAGTTCGTGGTAATGGTCAATACAGCATTGAAGGATAAGAACACCCGGCAGTTTTCCTGGACAGCCTCAAGCTTAGCTTGTTTGACTTGTGTTGGCACACTGGCCCTTTTTTCAATTTCCCCTTTACTCAGGCTTTATGCAGTGAAAAAGGACAAGCCTTCCAGATCCCGAACCTCTAGTTGAAAATAACTGATATCAGATCATGCATAATGCTAGAGATTCAACTTAGACCTAGTGTGTCTAATTTTTCTTGAAGCAGGTGACTGTAGAATTAATTTTATCAATGTGTTGTGTTTCCTGAACATTAATGAGTGTTTTCTTCCAACAGAGATTTTGTAGAAGAAAAGCTTGGGAGTAAATATGTACTAGGAAGATCTCTGGATTTTGCAACATCATTTGAGGAGTCAAGTCCCGCAATCCCAATGTTCTTTATTCTCTCACCTGGAGTCGACCCCTTGAAGGATGTAGAGAAGCATGGTAAATACACTGCACCTATTCAGCTAAGGGCCATGCTCGAACTGCCAAGCAAAGGCGCTATCCCTCTTGGGTCCTAAGAGGAGGAGCCTGTCCTCCTTGGAAAATGCCTCCTCCTGATAGCAAGTAGGGTCACAGGAGCAAGGGTTAAACAGTCGTTCCTAGATGGGTGAATGCAGTTCTCATGATCCATAAGTGCCATGCTGGCTGGGGTGATAAGAGTTGTAGTTGAAAATTTCTCAAAGGTAATGTAAAAGATGTTTAGCAGCACAATTGTGGAAGCCAGTGTCTTCTGCTTTATTTTATTTGTTTCAGCCTCCTTCCGTCTTCTACCTCTTTCTTGTTTTAGTCATAGGGAGGAGAATCAACATGTTGGTTACATTTTTAAAAAATCCCTGTCAGGCTTTTTAACATTACTGACATTACTGTCTCCTGCCACTCCTTTCCCATCCAGAGCCAAGCAGTCTGGCTTCCATACCTCATAGCTAGTTATTGAAATGAGTCTGTTAGTACAAGGATTTAGGAGGCCTGACTGGTGGAAAAGTGGTTTGTATCCAGGCTTTGTGATACTCCGATCAGTGAAACAAATATGATAAAGTAGTCCTGACTAGTGTTATGTTTCATTGATTTCAGTAGGCATACTCTAAGTATATCTAAGCTTGGGTCCAAACCTTTGAGAGAAACTGTGTCCAGGAGAATTCTTTTCAATCCTGATTGTCAGGGAAGATTGCTGGATCCAATAGTCCTGTGAAAATCTAGATATCCTGAAGGCACCATATCCAGTTTGATCTAAGCAGGGTCAGCCCTGGTTAAATCTTGGATTGGACCCACCAAAGAATATCAGGTTCAGCATGTTGATATTTCATTGGAAAGCAGTGGGAAGCCACCTCTAAGTATTCCTTGCCAAAGAAAATGTGTTGGTAGTGCTTTGATTGTGTATACCTGCAGGAGATTGCACTGCATGGTCTTGTGGTCTCTTCCAGATGTATTATTCTAAACTTCTGAGAAATGCATAAATCAATAACTACTTGAATAATATCTTGAGCCACCTGAGCAATGCACAAACAATACCTCTGTATTGTTTTTGAGGAATTTGAAGGTCCTCAGTATGGATATATTTGGGGGCATTCGAAGCCCTAGCCTAAGAAAAGATGCAAATAAAAAAAATGTAAGTTGGGTCCAGAAGATGACTTTCAAGCTGCCTAGACATATGTGCCCTTTGGGAAATTGCTCTTTAACTCACCTTTTACACTGACAGACCCAAAAGTTTCCTAGCAATTTCCCACTCCAGCATAAGGTAGTCTTTTTCCACTTTCAAAGCTTAGCATCAGTGATGTTATTTTGGAGGCAAGGGCCCAGTGTGAATACTTGCAAGAAATGATTCTGTCGCAGCCCCTCTGTATAACTACTGCTCATGAGAGTGTAAAACATACATGAGTATAGTAATCCTTTGCTATATTCTTTTTATCTTTATTTTTTAATTCAACTTAAAACTTGAGTGCCTTGGAGAAAATGTCTTTGCCAAACTTTGCCAAAATGTCTTTATGCCCTAAATGTTGGTAAATGCATATCAGAAAGCTAAGCATGCAAATAGGTTTGCATCACACATCCTTATAATTGTCTGCTTTCATGTGTAAAAATGCCCAATTGCTCATTCCAATTTTGTTCATTTCTGAGTTTGGTTTTGATGGGAGAGATTGGAATTCAATTGCAAACGAGACATTTAGCTTTTTGTCATTTCACTCTATGGATCCCAATGCCTATCTGATTGGGCTGCCACAGCATATATTAGCAGTATTATGTGTACATTGCTCTTCCATCCTGGCTGATCATGCACATGTGGAGTAAACCCCTTAAACAGGAAAACCATATTGTTACTGTTTATTCAAATGTTTTCAGAAGCAGAAAGCTATTTTAATAGCTCAAGTGATTTTGCAAGTCTACTAACTTCCTTATAGTAGGGCGCTTGGGGTGAGGATAATAGAAAATTAGATTTTTGTAAGCTTCAATCAGTGTGTATTTTGCATGGAAGCTCACTCTGTACCATCTTTGAACTGTTTTGCCCGGAGTCCAACGAAATCTAACTCTAGCTGGAACTGTGAGACAGAGGCACATCTACATTCATTGCTCATATTACAATATGGAATATTTCAACTGCATCTAGTTAAAAGACTGCCATATATTGTCTGGGCTGGGAGCTATCTATGGTAATGTGGATGTTTTCACAAAGACTAGCCCTTCCTGCTGCCAGCAAATGTTACAGGCCTGTAAGCATACTCTTTTCCTTTTTTGAAATAAAATGTGGTCAGGTTGTGCCTTGCATGCAGAGTAGGCACTGCTACCACCCACCTGTTTCTTTGGGTGGGGGTGGGGGTGGATGGGTTGTTTGGTTTTCTTTGCACATGTGTTTTGTTGCTCAGAGAAGAGTCACATTCCATGACATTTAGATGTCTTCGCAAAACCAAGAATTTATGAGCAGTACTGCAGAATAATTGTTTCATTCATGTTTCACACTGGGGCAGAGCTTGGAATAAACAAATTAATTATTGATTCATTTGCATAATTAATTGACTTTAATCCCTGTGCAGACTACAATCACTACAATTAGTATCTGACTTAACATAGACCAAAAACATTGCAAGCTGATTTGGAATGAATGGCTAGAAATAGATTAAGTTACTGTGGTTGAGAATAGATTAAGTTACTTTGGGCTTCTGGATAAAGAGGGGGATGGCTCTATTGGGCATGTGAAACTTTGGGCTACTGCTTTGTAACTGAAAGCAGCCCTTGACCTTGTAGGAGGGATGTATAGCTATGGTTTATTCCATTTGACTTAGGCAAGCAGGTCTGCGAAGAAAAAGAGATTTGCTCTGAGGGACTCAGAGAGCAAGGAGGTTAGCAGGACATTGTCAATTTCTATTAAAGCCTGATGTGGGATGAATGAGGGCAGAGGAGAGTATGAGGGAACATTACCATAGTTGAGGGCAGAACAGTTCCTTGCCACTCCATGGCCCTGTATCTAATATGTTAACCTTCTTTAAAAGCAGAACATGGAGAGGTTAAACAAGAAAGAAAGATCAACATTGGAGGACAGGGTCAGATGGCACTTTAGTTTCAGGTCTCTGGTCCTCAGACCAAACCCTTTTAAGGACATATTTCAGGGTCTGGTTAAATGCTGCTTTGGTTGAACTTTGTCATTTCAGAGCTCCCTTCTATGGCTGACACTTTTTTCTTACAGTAGTAGGCTCAGCAGTTACGGTTTCCTATTAGAATATGAACAAGGTCATTTTTATTTCCTTATGGCTGGCACATCAAAGCCTAAGCAGACATAGATACAGCTCTGCAGAACCAGAATATCCTCAACAATATTGGTATAATAATTATTAAGTATTTCTTTCTTTCTCCATAAAAAGGAATAAAAATGAGATTGGAATGCTTTTCTTTTTCTGGGCTTTGGATGCCCCCAAGCCAACAATCCAGAGGTCAGATAAAGTAATTAAAACTCAGCTTCAACAAAGCCTAGTTCACTTAAGTGGTGAGATTTTCTGTCACTGTCTTTCATAAATCTGCCCTCCATTTTGTATAACATTCAGAAGAATAATGTTATTCCTGGTCTGATATCAAAGCAGTCTGCTGGCCTATTTTAACCCTTCTCCACCAAAGCAAATACACTTCACATGGAAATCTTAACAAATAACTGTTGAGGTATTATTTTGCATATTTAAAAATGGAAGTATTTTCTGTTAGAACACACCTACTGAATCAATTGGCTATAAATTAGCATTGACAGCCCTAAAAAGTCTAGAAATTTCAGTCAAAAAACTATTTTAAAAAAAATGAGTGGAAGTACAGTAGTATACTTTAACTCTTATGGAAAAAAAATATGATTCTGTTCCTTGAGTATAGTGGTGAAATGCTGTCCTGAGAGAACCTAAATGAAGCACTGATTGCTTCTACTCTCTCTGCCATAGATCCACTTTTGGCCATTTGAATTATACACAAAATGGGTGGCAAAAATGGTTGGCGCAGCAAGCAGGGATGACTGTTCTCTGAGAATACATGGGTCCCCCCCCCTTCTCTGTGCAATAACCCTCAGCTTAACCATGGGTCTTATCAAAATTCACAGGGACCCTAAACCTGCCTTTGACCTATACATGAGGTTGACATACCTAAGTTTATACAGTATTTCATTTTATTCAAATCTCCAGCTTCACGTTCTAATATTATGAAAGAGGGAGAAAAAAAAACCTTCTCCTTACCTATTTTCTCAACACTATGCATGGTTTTGTACATCTTTATTATGTTTCTTCCTTTTTGTTTAATAGAGTGTCCCAGAGAGTATTATCTTTTCTTGCAGGGTGACCACGATGCTCCTTTGTTTGTCCTTTTCTCTATCTCTTCCACTTTTAAAAAATGTTGAACTGAACACAGTATTCCATACAAGAAGCCCCCACTTACCTGACAGGTTAGGGACCACAGCATTGTTGAAAAGTGGAATTGATTGATAAGTGGAGACCAGAGATTTTTTTAAGCCTTCAAATGCATTTTGACTGTGGAAAAATGTACACTTACAGTACACTGACGCATGTGTGTGAGCAATGCCAAGTGATCCTTGTAGGCAAGAAGAGCAGTTGTCAAATGAATGGAACTTGTCTGGTATTTGCACATGTTGAAAGAGTGAGTCATCAGAAAGCCGGAGAAACTTGTATGTTGCTGTGGATTTAGTCTTAGCAGATTTAGTTTCAGATCCTTTTCACACCCGACATAGTTGAAGTGGTTTTTTAGAAAAACTATAGCAGCCACCAAACAGCAGTTGCATATTGGTTCTGCATTTCCATTGGTGAAATACCACTCCTCCACGATCTCTTTCTTGGTCAGTCAACATTTCCACCACAGAGTGCATCAGTGAAGTAGGGATTTGTTCCCCGGTATGCATCACTATATATAGGCTTGGGTTGAATTTCATTTGCCATTGTGATGCCCATTTCCCCAGTTTGGAGAGAACCTTTGGGAGCTCTTTATAGTCAGCCAGCTTGTCCACATCAGCACTCACCTGATAACTGCAGACAGATTATGGACAAGATAAAAAGCACCGCCCACAAAAGACACCCCTGAGAGACCCTTCCACTCATATCCCTCCATTGTAGCAACAGACTATTATTTTTGCTTTCTGTTCTTTTCTCAGTTTTGAGTCCTAATATGATAGTTTCTGTTGTAGGAGAAGTCTTATTGAATGGAGTCTGAAATCAGGACTATGCTATGTTTTCCCAGCTCTGAAAATATCTTCTTTTTTTCAGGGAAGAAACTTGGCTACACATTTAACAACAGGAATTTCCACAATGTCTCTCTTGGGCAAGGGCAGGAGGTAGTAGCCGAACAAACCTTAGACCTGGCTGCAGCGGAAGGACATTGGGTTATCCTTCAGGTACCTCCCTCTCTCTTTTTAAGTTTAAGAATCTTACATTTTTGCCTCTGAATCATCTGTTGCAGAAGTGAATGAAATCATCAGTGACTGGCAGCTGGTTCTGTGTAAGCATGGGCAATTGTCAGCATAACAACCCACTTCTCAGTAAGTCTCAAATGCCTGTAAATGATCAGTTACTATTATAGTTGTTGGTTTCCACAGAGATTGCATCAAGACTATGTGAACAATCCCACTGATGACGTTTGTTGCATTCAAACCCAGAGCACAGTATTGTTATGAAAGACTGATGTGTTCTGTGATGTGTTTCCTGTTCTGTGAATGATTTGAAACATTTGTGTGTGTGTTTTGTTGAAAGAGCACCCTGTGGCCAGTTCAGAAACTCCTAATTTGCATTGGCTATCTCTAGCTAGTTGTGTATGTTTGTGTGTATATGTGTGTATGCAAGAGAAGAGAGAGAATGATAAATTATGTGCCAGTATGATTTGAAGGCACACAACAACAACAGCAAACCTAAATGCTGCTCCAAAAAAAAAAAAAGATTACTTCTGAAACATGTAATTTAAATTAAGCCTATTTTCATATCTCTGCTTGTTTTTCCATTGCTGCTGTGCCTGCTAGTGTTGTATAGGAGCAATGTTGTATGCGGTGCTAAAGAGCTGCCTCTACATTCGGCTAGCCAATAACTTTTTCTATTGTAGATTTTCCAGTGAAGCAGCAAAGGCTATTTAGCAGTTCAGCCAACCATTGATGGTAGTCACCCATCAAGCTATGTGCCCTTGTGAGAAGCACTCAACACAGTTAACCCACAACACAAGTATTTGATGCCTTTAACCATAGCATTCATACATTTCTACTCTGCCCACAGTCTTTTAAAAACTGAGAAGTTTTATTGGCTTTGTGAATATGTAAAAATATTCCAAGGGAGACAGCATCCCAGTAATTTTTGGCAATACAGTAAATGCAAATTTGATACAATTGTGGAAATTAAAAATGGGAAGGTGAGAGTGATGAGCCAAAGCGCAATAAGCCAATAACCCATTCATATTCATGTAGGCTGTAATCCTATAATTCATACTCATATTCATTTAGACTGTAATCCTATAAACACATTTCTGGGGGTAAGCCCCATTGAACTGAATGATAGTTACTTCTGGGGTGACATGTAGAAGTCTGCCCTGTTAATGAAGGTTGTAAACCTTTGCAATTGTGTCTTTTGATTTTTCCACTTAAATATATCTGCATTTTAAATATAATGTTGAGCTGAATTTCTTCGTCTTTTCATTTACCTGTCAAAGATGTGACTGCATGAAAAATTACTGAGATGAATCAGGTGCCTGTATGTCAAGAAAAAGTGACCCTTTATTAGAGTTGACATAAATGTTAAATGTTTAGACAGCAGAGCCAAAATGAAAGTTTAATGTTGTATAAGCATTAGCAGAAGCTGATGCTACTCATAGTCAGCTGATGGTGACAGTGGTTGGCTGAGCCATTGCCTGCTGATCCAAGAAATGATGCAAGTACCCTAATCATAGGGGGTAAATATGGTACCAGTCTTTGGCACATTGGGCAAAGGTCCTATGGCTTTCTCAGCAAATAACAAGAAGGGCTGCTGTTTCTTCCTGGATAAATGCCTTTCCCTTTCAATTCTGCCCATTAATAGGCATGCCTTGACAATAACTCCTATTTTTTGGGCCCAAAACAATAACAACGAGTTCTTAACATGATTCCTATCTCCACGGGGTTTGCTCTTTCTCATCACATTTGCAGCTACTTATCCTTTGACCTCCAAGGGAGCAAAAGGCAGAAAGGGTTACAGAATACACATAATGGTATAATCCGCAGGGGTGTCTGCCTCAGTGCTATTCCTGGAGCTATTTTAGAGGCACTGTCTCTCTCACAATCTCCCCACACTTTGCCAAGGAAGGCTGCCAGAGGAGCCTGATGCAAAACCGGTCAGGGTGCAGACTTTTCCTGTTTGTTCTTGAAAATATAGCTCAATTTAATCACAGCTTGCTTAACAAATTCAGTGATTTTAGGACGTATTCTATCTAGGTCTATAGAGTGTAAATTCTAGTTCTTTCCCTAACCATGCACTCAAGTTTGAGGAGGCTGGAGCACTCCGCTGTGCCTTGTTTTCCCTATTTACGAAAAGCGGGTGATTTAATCACTGGCGCACTTTGAAGACGGTGTTTCTCTTCCAGCTTATTGGGCACAGCAGAGATGATAAATGAAATGGAAAGATGCTGGGTACACTGTTAGCATTGCGATTACTGATGGATTTGAACCTGGATTACAATGAGCTCGGGATTTGTGAGTTTACTGCAGAATTTGTTCTAGGCTTTGCTTGGTACTGAGAGCAGAGCCCTGCAAAGATGACTGTTTCGACACACCTTTTCCCTCTTTGTTTTCTCCTTGGCTGAGTTTTTTTTTCTGGACAGAAGCAGAATATTTAGGATGAGTTCCCTAACTTGGAAGCTCTTTCCTCTGTTGGTTGGTTTGTTTTGTTGCTTGTTTGGAGGAGAAAAGAGAGACGCATGAGCTGCAGATTTATTTATTGCAATTTATCTTTAAAGCCTGCACATTTCAAAGAAAAAGGTCCCAGAGTAGTTTGCTGGGAATGATTATAAATTGCTAAAATAACAATCAATATGGAATAATAGAAACAGCCAGTTCAATCACAGCAGAAACAACAAATGAAAAAGAGCAAAGAAATGCAACAGATGCCCTAGTTAAACAAACTTTTGAACTCTGGTTTCCTTTGTACTCCCACATGAACACAAGCTGCTACTCTGTAATATAGCTGAGTTTTGATCCTGGGCTCTTCTTCAATTCAGTTGCTGCCTGTAGAAAACAGAGTTATTTTCTCCCATCTGCATTCATGTCACTTAGTTCACCACTCAGGGTAGAGGACTGGGAAAGAACAGTCCTGACTCCTGTCCTGACTTCGACAATACAGTCCTGACTCCTCTTGTGTATCTGTTTAACCATTTGTGGAAAGGAAAAGGTGAAGCTCTGATGCTATGTATGTGAGGAAACTAACATTGTATTTCATCCTTGGGTCCAACTTGCTCTTCCTCCTTTAAAACCTCATGCCAGAATGATGCCCAATGTCATCATCATGACTGCTTCCAAGTTGTTAAAAAGTCTTGATTGGTATCTTCTTTCTACCTGCAAGAGTCCAGGCACTAGCTCATCCTAATTTAACCACAGTCTTTATCCATTAGTCAGAATGTCACCACCTTCATTCAGTGATTGACTTAATTGAATTCCTGAGTGCCTTTTCATTTTCATACATTGTTGCTTCACTGAGCTCTGGGTTCATGTACTAAATTAAATAACAATGAGCTGCTCAACCATAGCAATGCTCTGATCAAAAGCTTGGCAGAGATTTCCTTATTGCATGTTAAATAATTGGATTATATATTAAGGATTTGAGATAGGGAGTTAAGGGCTTTTGTGCAGGCACAACCTTTTCTTTGTGTCACATATGGATAGCCTGTTTTGTTTTATCTCTAAAATGAAAACAAAGAGAAAGCCATGCACTTTCTCATTAATGTGCCTTCAAGTTGCCTGATGATTTATGATGACCTCATGAATTTCATTGGGTTTTCTTGGGCAAGGAATACTCAGAAAGCCCTATTTTAGGATATTACCTAAGCATACCTTTGTGGCCGTAAAAGCTTTATTTTTAAAAAATAAAAACAAAAACAAAGAAAGAGATGGAAGAAAAACAAGAGATTTTCAGGCCAGTGTACAGTGTCCCAGAATTTCCTCCCTACTTACTATCTTCTCAACAAGCTAAATGTCATATTCAGAATGCCAGATATGTTTCAGTGTTCTGGGACCTTCTTCTTCACATGGTACATGGTACATGTATTAAATTAAGAGAAAATTCTTTTCTCATAAGTTTGTGCTCTATAGAGAAAAGAGTTTGTGCTCTTTTCTCTATAGCTCTCACCTGAATGAGGTTCTACATCCTGTGTTCCAATGGAGGTAGTTGTGACTGTAGTCTGGAATCTTCAATACTAAATGTATTTTCTGAACCTGTCTTTTTCCTAAGAGAAAGTGATTGAGGGAACCTTTGTGGCAATTCCTTGGCACTGGAACCTTTTACTGGTTAGTGCTCACAATGCCTGCATTGACCTCATGACAGAAATCCCACTGGATTTCATTCTTATTGACTAGTTGCTTGCATGCTCAAGTTTTTCCTCAGTAAATGCCTTGATGTTTTTGATTTTCAGCTTTACTAAACATCTGTGCTGCCTAACAATATAATGTCCCTCTACTTAAGCACGTGATCCATGCAGATTTTCTCTCTGAAGTTGCTACTGTTTGCCATCGGGTCAACTTCAACTTACAGTGATCCTATGAAGAACTGTGGCCTTCATCTGCCTTACTCAAGTCTTGCAAACTCAGGGATATGTCTCCCTTGATTGAGTTAATCTACTTGTAGTGTAGTGTCACTCTTTTGCTCCTGTTTTCCACATTACCAAAAATGTGTGCCTTTTCCAGTGAATCATGTTTTCTCATGATATGCCTCAGTTTGGTAATATTGGCCTGTAGTGATAGTTCAAGCTCTAGGACACATTCATTTGTCTTTTTAACACCTATAGACAACAGTCTCACCCAGTGTTACATTTTAACTGGGTTGATTTTCCCCAGGAACTTATTTTTTCAATGTGTGTTACAATTCAGATACGTGTACATAATGTTTGCAGTTGTAAAATCACATCTATACTTTTTGTTTAAAATATACATTACATCCCCACTTATCTTTTGTTCTCTTTCAGCTTCTCTTTTAAGGCTAATTGGCACCCTGGGGAGACGATCCTCAGTTTTCAGGAGAGTATTAGAGTGCAGAGAAGGTTTTCATCCCCAGCTCTCTTACTCACTCACAGTCTGGTACTTAGGTTTAGGGGGAAAAAAGGCACCATGCACAGAAATGGGAAAAGAGAGGGAGTAATTGCTATGCCTAGCCATCGGGCTAAAGAGGGGAGACA